GTTTTAAATAAGTAAATCAGTTCAATCGTAGATTTAGTCCAAGTAGAAAGCTGAGATGTCTTTTTTAGGCTTCAACACAAGGTTTTGGGATGGAATCTTTTAAGGGTGGGTCTAAGATGTAAATGAGCCTCAATTTAAGCATAGCCAACAGAAAGTTGGAAAATCGTCAATGAACTCAAGCAAAAATAAAAAATACTGGCTAACGAATTTGAAAGAAAAAGTTGGCATTAAAGCTCTTTGAATTTCTAGAATTTTGAACTTATGATGGATACTTTCAGGACAAAATTATCCCCATTTGAGAGAACAGGATCAGAAGGTTAACTTATTATTACGGTGGGAAATCTGAAAGTAGAATTCTTTTTCGAAACCCGAATTCGATCACGTTTTTCGTGACCTTAACACTTTTGCTGTTTGATAGTGAAGTTTGCTTTCATTTTAACAAAATAAAATGAGTTGAACTTAAAAAATCCAAAGTAAAACCGCAAAAAAACTAAATTTGAGTCTGAACAAAGTAAGGTTTTTCCTTAGAAAAGAGCTATTTAAGTGAAAATAACTTGGTTCTTCTACACTTAATAAGAAAACGTTACATCTAATTAAGCTCCTGACATTTCGATGAACTTTTCTTTTTTAGACTCACTCTTTTCTGATAAAATCGATCTCATTTGGGATAGAAAATTTTTTTGCCTATTTGCACTTTTTTACAGCCAGGCGAAGATTGAAAGCTGCTTAAATAAGTTTTAAGGAAATTACATCAAAATTCAGATTTAACAACGCTGTTCATTTTAGGAATTCGAAAAAAAAACACCAAAAACCACTTTTCCTATGAAACACAATAGGCAGCTTACTAAAGAATGTAACGCCCCAAAAAATCGCCTGCTTTCCTTAAAGAAATTACAAGAGCGCTGTTTCCCCTACCAACTGAGCTGCTGAAATTTGCTGCTTTCAAGAGCTTACACCGGGGCGAAGCTGACTTCGCATAATATGCGATACAACACGTAAAAAAAACAGCACAGTGCTCAAGAAATAGCTAGAGAAGGGATCAAAACAATGCTAATATTGGAAGAACAGGCAAAACAGTTAATATAAATCCAAGAAAACTGAGGAAATTAAAAAAAATTGAGCACTTAAACTTTCGTTTCTGAGACTTATCAATGTCAAAAAAATATACTGCAAACATTTAGAAAACAAAATAGAAGGCAAATACGCTGACAACGTTTTAGCCGACAGGCAATCAGCTGAAAATTATCTGAAACTGCTTACAAAGTATCCACGAGTATTATTATATTTGTTGTATGCAAGTTGACATACATAACTCAGAAACTAAAAAGACAGAGCTCAAATCATGCAACCAAAAAATCTTCAGCAACAAAATTAATATGGAAATTCTATAAATAAACATATATAGCTTAGAACTCTAGATATAGCATTTAACAGTAGTTACTAGTATCCAGCAGTTAAATTAAAATTTCCCAGAAATTGAGCGTGTCAGCATCACAAACGGTTAAACTGTTTTTGAGAAGCACGTTGTTTACTCAAAAAAAGTATATTCCCATTTGATAACGCTTAATGGTTGCAAGCGTAAAAAACTCGAAGCAATAAAAAAGAAGATGAAAGAAAACCGACGTAAAACGGCAACTTCTTCAAAATTCCTCAAGTGTCAGATTCATTAGAGCTAATTGCGTCAACTTGACCCATAATCGGGAAACTGTCATGACGAGCATTCATTCAAAAATTTAATAATCGGAGTAAACCTGATCGACTTTAAAAAAAGGCACCATATTTAGAAAAATTCTAATGAACGCAAACAAATCAAAAAATGACTGAATTGTTTTTTGAAATCTTTCGATTTTGAAAGAAAATGCATATGCCCTTAGGGTTCGTTGAATTTGAAAAAACAATTGACGATAAGCTGGCAAGCTCGTCTCTATAAACCAATCGGATCGCAAAAAGTTAGTTGTTCTGAGCAAACATAGAAGCGATGAAACTTTATATCACATATTATTTCATTCCGTGAAGTTCTTCTCAGCACACCAATAAAGTGTTGAAATATTTCAATTTGATTCTTATTGAATCAAACAGCAAAAAAAATTGAGGCGCACCGATCCAGCCTTGAATCTCTTCAATTAACTTAAGTTATTTCATATTGAACCGATTGCAAACAGTGATTTTTCTCAGCACGCGATTAAACTAAATCAAATTTAAAGATTATCCACATCGTGACCATTAAAGCTCAAAAACTCTTAAAAGTTTAATTTTAATTCATACCCTAACTCGATTGACAAAAATTAACCTTTTCTGAGCAACGCTATTTTATACTGAGATTTATTAATTAATTCTATGAATCGAGTCACAAAAAAATTAAAGTTTTTCTGAGCACGCCAATCACTACTACAACTACTCCTAACGCGTTTAACGTCCGTTTTCCCATTGTGAAGGGGTTGCACACGCCAATCAAGCCCTGAAATTCTTGAAAGTTGAAGTCGGTCTACAGTGACTAGATTTGCATAGCATTAGTTTCCTCAGCTGTGACTCTAATTCAAACTGTGACTCTATTGGCCAAAAATTATCAACTCTTTCTGGAAAAATTATTCACGCGTTGAAACTTCTGAACCATTTGAAGTTATTTTGGACCTAAAATCTAATAGAAAAATAAAAGTTTGCTAGCAAAATATTCATACAACGAAATTCGAAACCTTCGAAGTTAATTTATGAATTTGATCGATTCACAAAATTCAGATTTTTTTATCAAGCTGTTCAAGCGTTCAAAAAAGGAAATATTTCAGGTTATTTAATTAAGCTGATAGGTTTGCAAAAATCTTCATTTTTTCAGCAACCCATTCAGAAAATTAAACTTTGAAAATGCTCAAGTTTCAGTTCGGCGAAAACTTTAAATTTTTCAAAATAAGTTAAATTAGAAGTAGTAAGAAATTTTAAAACGTGTCAAAATATTTCAAAGAGCAAAGCGGTTCGCAAAAAGTTAAAAATTCTTTAGGCAAGCTTAAGCGATGCAACTTTGAAATATGTCTTTTTATTATTAGAGCCAATCGGTTGGTAAACTTTCAGTTTTTCCAAGCTAGCTATTTAAGCGATCAAATTTTGAAAATTGTTTTTCGAGTGAGTGGGTTTCCTAATTTTTCAAGCGAGTTATTCAGGCAATAAAAAATAAAACTTTGAAATATGTAATGCTATTTTATAGAGCCAGTCGGTTTGAGAAAATGTTCCAAGCAACATATTCAAGCGATTAAACTATAAAAAATTTGAGTTACTTTAAAGAGCGAATCGATTCGCGATTTTTTTTCAAGCAAGCTAATCAAGTCATTAAGTCTTGAAACATTTCAAAAAAATTTTAATGGCTTTGATTGTGTGACAATAAATCAATTTCATGTTCTTGAACTTTCGTCAAACTTTGAGGCGTATCCAATATTTTCCTATACGGCAATAATATCATGTGATATTTGTTTGATAGGTGGTGAACCTCAGATTTTGAGTTGATGAAAATACAAGATAAACCATAAATCTCATGACCAGTGGGTTAGAACTATTCAATAAACCTTGATTTAATGCTTCTTTTATACTATCGGGACCCAACACGAACATGCCATGCCAAGCATCCGAGAGATCAGAAATTGAAAGTATTACAAAATAATTTAAAAGCTCTCTAACAAATTGCTTCGCAAAAAGTTTATGAAGTTATAAAACAGGTTGGATTGCTTTGCAATAAACTTAAATGTATTCAAGCAAGCTATTGAAGCATGAGACTTACAAAAATTTTGAAAATTTTTATACAGCTTAGATTGTTTTGAAAAAAACCAAGTTATTAAAGTAAGCTATTGAAGCGATGACATTTCAAAAAAGTTAGCAAAATGACAGTTGGAAAAAAGCATTGAACGCAAGGAAACAAAAAACTTACTTGTTTTGGGAAAATTCAAGTTGCGAATTTTAGAAGAAAAATGTGTGCCCCTAAAATTTCCAATTTCACAAACAATTTCTGCTTGATCTTTTTTTGATAAAATTAACCAAGCTTGAAAAAACTGGATCAATAGATAATATTTATATTTTGCTGGGCAATCTGATAATCAAATTCCATTTTGAAATTAGAATCCAATCACATTTTTCATGACCTTTAAAATTCTGCTGTTCAATAGTGGAGTTTTCCTTCTTTATAACAAAGGAAATGAAGCGAACTTGAAAAGAAATCAAAAGTCAAACCGCGAAACATCAAAATTGAGCGTGAACATATTAAGACATTTTACTTTGAAAAAACACAAAAAAAAATCTGCAAGAGTTATATGGGAGTACTCACTACTTTCCTTACTCTTAATAACTTGAGTTGTTTTCATAGCTTGGATTGCTTTGCAAAAAAAAATAAAGTTGTTTAAGCAAAGTGTCTAAACGATGAAATTTCGAAATAGTTAGAGATTTTGTCGCTTCAAAATAGCTTGCTTGAGTCTGTTTTTCGTCTCGGTTTGCAAAAATTTGTATTTTTTCCAAGCAAGTTATTCAAACAATAAAACTTTAAAATATTTCAACTAGTTCAAAGATAGAAGCTTTAACCTTGCGCCCGACAACATTAAAACATTGTGTTGAGTTAAGCGTTGCGTCCATGGCGCATTTCGACTTTCATTTAAAATATAAGATTATAAATCAAGCTATCAAATTATTCAAGTGATTCTGTTAAACAAGTCCTGAAAAACCCTTACCAATAGCAAGCGTAACAATCAAATTGAAAAAATTTGAATAATGTGGATAAAAATATAATTTTTCTGTCCCAACGATGCATTAAAAAGTATGCTTCGAGAAGCGAGCATTAAAAAGACATGAGCGTGAACATTTGAATTAGGATGAACAAACTTGAAGAGTTTTCCTTGTGAGAAAAAAACGAAAAAAAAAATCAACACCTATTTACGCATCGCGTCTTCACTACTTTCATTGGCACTTAAAAACTAAACAGCCTGAATAAGGATATTCGCAGTGTTCAGTAAACCTGTAATGTTACCAACCTTCTTTCGCATCTTTATTTTTAGCAGAGGATGCTACTGTCATCAGAAGAGAAAGACAATCTCCGCTAGAAGCCTTCGCATAAAGCTCTGCCATGTCTTCTACCGTTTGGACAATCATCTGTGAGTCATGTTTTAAAGCGAGCAAAATGTCGATTCTAGCAACAATCGCAAATGAAGTGATATCGGCCAGATCCTGCTGTCCGCATTTCACTGACTGCTTTTGTTTTTCAGTAGACTCAACTTCAGCTGAAACCGTTATTTATTCTAAGCCAATCTTTAGATATACAAATCAACAATTACACAGAGGCTGAGCTACGCTTCGCAAACACTAGCGACAACACGCCAAAAAAGCAGCTCTATAAAGTGAAATAAAAAAAAAACAGAAATAAGCCTCGAATTAGTAAGAATTCGGCTACGTATCCGGTTCGGCTACGTGTCCGGTAAAGGTTTTAGTTCTCATCCATTAACCACACACCACGGACGCTGACTACTGCCAAACACTGAAGAAGAGAAAAGATGCTATGAAATTTCCAATGTTACAGATTGCAATTATAGCAAAAAGCAAAAAAGCCACCTCCTCATGAGCACTTTTATTTGCGAGTTAACTTACAAAAAAAGAAGGTTCGTACTAATACACTACGCTCGCTAAAGCCCGCAAGTGTAATTATACCTAAGATACGATACTAGCACATCACAATGAGCTAAGAATTAGTGAGGTAATTTCAATTCAAGGCATTTGCGTTTTCAATCAGAGAATTATACATTACAGCATCAATGATGAAGAAAGATGACCTAATGTTCAGTTTACAACATAGCCAACAGAGAGTTCTAAAAGAGTCAATGAACCCAAGTTAACAGAAAAAGAGACTTACTTTTCAAAAAAATCTCACTTTCAAATTTCAAAGAAAAAATAGTTGCCTTAAAGCTCTTTGAATTTCTGCAAACAATTTATAGTCGATCGGGTTTTTCGTGGCCTTAAAACTTTTGCTGTTCAATAGTAGAGTATGCCTTCTTTTTAACATAGGAAACGAAATGAACTTTAAAAAAAATCAGAATTCAAACTGCAAAAAAAAGTAAATTTGAGCCTGAAAAAATTTGTCCGGTAAAAAATAAAACAACAATCATCGCAACCCATATAAGAGTCTGAACTACGTTTATCGACTCTTAAAAACGAAGAAATCAATGGCGGTATTATATTAACACGATTTTAGGACGAGAAACTTACATTCCTTAACCATAGAACACTGACTTCCAGCAAACAAATCATTGATTGAAACATTTCCACTTTTAGGACTACAATTGGCCATTTCTCTTTCGTCTATAGCCAACTGCGCATTCATATACTGAGTTGTTTGTATCAGTTGGTGAACTTTGAAGACCTCTTTAATGATTCCACCGCTTATTTCATCGATGTTCGGCATATCTCCAGCATGGAAAGCAGATTGAACCAGGATTAGAGCCTGGCCCAGACTTTTCAGCCACAGAAACAAGATTTCCTCCTAAAACACCACGATTTCATCTACGGATATACAAAACTTAACAATGGCAACGAAAATGCTAAAACGTTAATTGCGGACACGTAAACTACAAAAAAGTAAGCTGCACTTCGCAAACGGTAAACAAAACCCTTAAAAGTGAAAAGAAAAAAAGTAAAACTAATAAAGCATCAAAAAATAGCCACCAATAAACCAGATATTAAGATATGATATTGCAGCAAAATTGCCATCAAATATATGAGCACTTCTATTTGCGATTTGGGTCGGAAAAAAGAGGCACTCACAATATAACACCACGCTCTGCTTGAGAAAAAACAATGATTCAATCAAAAATTCTTCAAGATGAATTGAAAAAAAAACTTTCATAAAACTATCGAACAAAAAATGTTACATTCCCGGAGCAAAAAAAAAATACACATTTGGCCGAATCAATAAGCTGAGCAAAACATAGCCCACAGAAAATTGAAAAAATGTTAATGAAAGCTAGAAATAAGATATAATGCTGATTTATTTCTTGAAAAAACTTCATCTTTTAGCTCTCAGAGTTTAAATTTACGTGTCTAGAAATAAGCTAGAAATAAGATATAATGCTGATTTATTTCTTGAAAAAACTTCATCTCTTTAGCTCTCAGAGATTAAATTTATGTGTCTAGAAATAAGCTAGAAATAAGATATAATGCTGATTTATTTCTTGAAAAAACTTCATCTCTTTAGCTCTCAGAGATTAAATTTACGTGTCTAGAAATAAGCTAGAAATAAGATATAATGCTGATTTATTTCTTGAAAAAACTTCATCTCTTTAGCTCTCAGAGATTAAATTTACGTGTCTAGAAATAAGCTAGAAATAAGATATAATGCTGATTTATTTCTTGAAAAAACTTCATCTCTTTAGCTCTAAGAGATTAAATTTACGTGTCTAGAAATAAGCTAGAAATAAGATAAAATGCTGATTTATTTTTTGAAAAAGCTTCACCTCTTTAGCTCTAAGAGATTAAATTTACGTGTCTAGAAATAAGCTAGAAAAAAGATATAATGCTGATTTATTTTTGAAAAAGCTTCACCTCTTTAGCTCTAAGAGATTAAATTTACGTGTCTAGAAATAAGCTAGAAATAAGATATAATGCTGATTTATTTCATGAAAAAACTTCATCTCTTAAGCTCTATGAGATGAAAATACGCGCTTGTAACTTTTCGATTTTCAAGAACATTTTTTGATTGAAATTTTCTTGATCAAATTAGCCCAATTCGAGAAAACTGAATCGTTTGGTAAGTTTTTCATTCAGAACGAAAAATTTTTAAAAAAACTATGCGAGGCAAAGCAGAGCTTCCCAACACTTGCTATACAACATAAAAACAGCATTGCAAGCTAGCAGAGAGAAAAAAGAAAGCAAAGCCAGTGAATAGAAAACAATAGAAAAATTTTTAAAAACCCAGCTACAAAAACATGTAAGTTTAGCCTAAAATAATAAGTTGAATTTGAAGTTAACATGTCAGACAATGCAATCGCTGGTGTTAAATGATCAATCACAAGCAATTATCGAGCGGTAAATAGGCCAGACAACTACGACTGAGACAAAAACAAAATGTTCGGCATGAAAAACTTGAAATTTCTGAAATTCTAAAGTATTATGGCAATAAAATTAGGTCAGTAAGCCAATAAAACATAAGCCGACACATTTCAGAAGTATAAAAAATCAAAAATAATATCAATTACAATGAAAATTGTTAAAGATTAAGCAAAATACGTGATGCGGCAACTACGACCAAACGCAAGAAGGCAAACAATAGCCGAAAATTTTTTTCAAAAAAGATTGTTCCAGTTTAAAAAACCACAGGATCTGACCACATTAGCAGACTTTTGTCATTAGCAAAGCACTTGTTACCTCTAGACTAAGAGTGGAAGAGAAGCTGAGAAAAGTGAACTTTTTATATGCCAAGCTATCAAAAGGTTTAAGTGATTGCTTAAGTTGTTACCGCGAAAAAAGTCTCTATTGCGATTTGATAATTCCTACTAGTCGCCAGCTTAAAAATCCCATTTCGAAACCAAAAGTCGAAACCAAAAATCACATTTTTCTCGACCTTTACTTTTTCCGTGCGATAGCAGAGTTTACCTACACCCATTGATTCCACTTCACATGCCTTAACCAATGCTCCATGCAAGCGTAATGATTATTATTGAGAGTTGAATGTGCTTTAATTATGCGGAACCAATCTATTCCAAGTAGCTTTGAAAATATAAATAACTTTTATTAAAAAATTCGTTCAATAAAATTAGGGAAAACAAAGCTGATATTAGAGGACAAATGCACAAAAAAAAGGTCTAAAAATGATAGAAATTTTCCGCCTCGAAAAAAAAGAAGCTACAAACAAATATCTTAAAGTCAACGAGATTAAAACTTGACCCTCCCGACCGAGCGTAAACTGCTTGAGCCACTCAGGCATGGCGCCGTGCAATCACTTTCGCATCTGTTTTTTTTTGTTGAAGATCGGTCAAAGAAGCTCATTAATAAAGCAGATCAGTAAAACAGCCAATAGACAGTTGGAAAAATGTACAAAAGGGCGATGAAGAGCTTTGCACCACTTGCGATATAACACAAACACAGCATGGCAAACTAGCAAACAGAAATTTGAACGGCAGCCTCTAGATAAAAAAAAAACATTTCAAAATTTCGAGAAAAACCAGATATACCAAAACTTTCATATGCTTGTCTTGGCTAAAAAAACGTCAGAAATAAGAAAATTGAAAGCTACATTTAATTAGAAACAAAGCGGTATTAAAACCAGAAATTTTTGAGCAGACACTCAATGAGCGAAAAAAAATCTTTCCATAAAAACCTTGAAACAAAAAATATTACAGTACCGCTCAAAAAGACTCACATACATAGGAAACTGTTTCGCTCATCCAACAATGCAATATGGTTAAACTAAGCCGATTAAGTATAAACCTAAACAAATTAAATGCCAATTAACTATAAGCTGAAACAAACTATATCAAAATGGAATAATTAATTTTAAAACCGACATAAAAAAACAAATATTGACACATTTTTAAACCCGATTACCTCAATGAACGGGGCTTTGGAAATGGCATTCAGGAAACAAAAGCGGAACCTTCAATAACAGTGCGTGCTATAGGAACTAAGCCCACAAAAATCACCAGACGAAGATTGTCCAAAAAACCTGAAAATTTCTATCTATTCTGAGATTTTTAACTTTTTGGGCGATCCGGGGTTCCCTCGACGGACCCAAAATTAGATAAGTAAGCCGAAAAATTTTTTAGCAAAAAATCAATAAAGGAAAATATACGAAGTCAAGGCTAGTAGAATTCCAAATTGCAGGAGTAAAAGAAAAGAAGACACAGAGGCGAAGCCGAACTTAGCAACACTTGCGATGCGAAAAATACATTGCGTTACTAAATAGTGGATGGAAAAAACACAAGCCAAAAAAATTTATATAAAATTGTTGGAAAAATTATTTGAAAAAGACAACTTGACAAAAATCGAAATATTACAGCAACAAACACTTCATATTTGTATCAGATGAAGTTCATACACAGAACTTAAAAGATGGAAATCATTCACTAAGCGGCATCAAAAGTTGGGTCGAAACCTGTGGAGCCCAAAACAAAACTGTTGTCATAAAAAATTTCATAAAACTTTGAAGTTCAAAATAAGACATGGTTAATTCACAAATTGTGAAACTTTAGTTATAGTAAAAACTGTTTAAATTGCTTTGAAAAACCATGCTTTGAAAAGTAAACCATCAAATACTCTATCAGATTTTTAATAAATGGCGTGTAAAAAACGGAAAATGAACCGACAGAACCTAGGACGAAAAGCACGAACCCAAAAAAATTTGAGAAATTTTTTTGAAAAGATAATTACAACGTGAAACTTGAAAAGATAATTACAACCTGATATCACAAACTTTGCAAAGATAATTAGAATCTAAAATTACAATCTGGAACCAGAAGATCCTTTATAAGTGAAGATCCTCTAGAACAGGAGATCGTCTAGAAGTGTGTACAATGTTTTTTATGGGAAAAAAGTCTAGTACCCGATTGCAATACCCTTGCTTATCGCAAAGGTAAAAAGCAACAAAAAATAAGCCGACATTTTTATCGACAAAAAATAAGCCGACATTTTTTCACACAGAGGCGAAGTTGCACTTCGCATACACAAGCAAAATTTTGACCGATAACGCTCCTGGGAAAAACTGAATGAGTAAAAATTTTGAGTATCCAAAACTTCTCAAGTGATGCACGCCAATTATGAGTCAGCATAATTGCCAAAAGACGCAAGCCAAATATGACGCATTAGTAGTACCAGTCAATTTGAAAAAAAAATTAACAACTAACATGCCTCAATTTATAGAGCGGACGCATTTTAACTAGTAAACGAAAATTTCATTAAAAACATCCGACCGTGCCTAGGTTCGAACCCTCTTATTTCTATGCGGGTCTCCTTCCCTACCTCTACGCTACAGATCAATGATACCTTGAAGTTAAATGGCTATTTGTAATACAATAGTCTGTGTTAGTATCCTTAGCATTGGCTGTACTTGATACTGGTTACTGATCAAAATGAACGCATTTAGTCGCAACAATATTTGCGCCGCAACAAGATTTGCGACTTAATTTGGAAAAAAAGAGAGTTCATACTATAACACAAGCTTTGCTTGTGTAAAAACGGAAAATTTCCCGTTTGAAGAAAAAAACATGTCTTGATGAGATTCGCCGTCCCAGAGGTTTTCGTTGCCTGCAGACTAAGTTTGACGAATTCGCTTAGCAATTTGAATCCAATGTGAGCCAAGAGACTACGTGATTCAAGTGATTCTGTTAAACAAACTGTTAACCCGAAAAAGTCTAAATTCCAATTTGATAACGCTTGCTAAATGCTATCGTAAAAACTTTTTACAGAAAAAAATCACACCCAACCACACAAACTCATTGAGTTTCTTTTTTAGATTCATTTCCACTTCATAATTTAAAGTAGAATGGGCCCTTTATGAATCTCACAGAGAAAATTAAAAAAAAAGAAATGGGCGCTATTTATTTTCATTAGTATTTTCATTTTCATTATAATTTTCATTAGTTTCATTGTAAGTTATTTTCTTTGATTTCTGTACCATATCATTTAACGAAAAAATATTTGACTGCTGACAGTTGTTCGTGGGATAAAAATCCTTCAGTAAATACTGAAATAGCCGCCAAAACTTTCAGCGTGACCGAACTTCGCTTCTTGCTGAAAAGCAATAAAATTTGTTCAATAATAATGAATATTACCATTGATAAAGTAGAGCTGGTCGCAGATACATCATGCCCGTTCTTTTTCGCATAATAGAACATGCTGGAAAACGATGCCAGCAATCGAAGAAGTCTCAGTGCGTGGGTGTGACCTGCTCCAATAGACAAGTTCCAACAAATCTTGATCAAGTTTTCACAGAACTCAGCTGAAACAAAACAAAGGTGATTCAAACAATTTTCGATTGAAACAATGGATTACTAAGAACATCAAGCGCGATGCCGTCAATGATCTTTCTTAACAAGAGAGCCGATGCGCTGAATGAGAAAGACGGAGGTCTCGTATTCTGCTCAGAAAATGCAAAGAAATTATTCTTTTCAGTTTTTAAAAATGAAAACTGGGGCGTAGCAGCACTTCGCCAGGATCAGCCGTACAATCCCTACCCCAAAATCAACTTTGGGGGAGAAAATCGACAGTATGAAATATGAAGAAAACCCCTGGGTAGAAATTTATTAACAGGTAGTCTTGTCTGCTTGAAGTTGAATTAAACTGTGACTACTTTTCAGGCATTTAAATTCATGGTACACGAAAACACCTGTTACTCAACCACACAACAAACCACAGAATATTCTAGAAAGTCTGGCAAAGTTTAATGTAACTGAGTTTAATGTCTCAAATTGTTTACGCATCGCTCCTCCTGATGCACATAAAACCACAAAATCTATTTTTTTGCACTTGAAACGACAAAAAATGAGGTAATTACACCAATGTAACATAAACCGAAACCATTTGAGCGAAAAAAACAACAGGTAAGCTATACAAAAACAGAATTTGTTAACTTCTAAATAAGAAAGGATCAAGCTTTGAAAATTAAGCTAACAAAAACTAAGCAGACAAACGATAGACTAACAATTCGAATTTTAAATTCTTATTTTCCGAGCATATCAAAAAAAAAAACTTCCTGCAGAAACTCGAATCTCAGACATTAAGATCCCAATGCATGCGCATTACGGCTAGACCAAGCAAGAAAATATCTATTAATTAATTGTCGTTTCATCAATAAGGAAGGTATTTTTCTTCCAGATTTGTACAAAAAAGATTTAACTTTGAAACAGTTGGAAAAAATTCAAAGAACGCAAGTAAGCGAAAAAAATACTGCCTTTCTAGAACAAATTATGATTGACACTTTGTTGATAAAATTAACCCAATTTAAGAAAACTGGATCAACTTCGTTAGTCAACTTTTAAAATCAATTTATTACTGCTAAAAAGTTGGAACCAGATACCTCAAAAATACCAAACCTGAGCCTTGAACGACTCAGCCACGTCTTGTTTTTTGAAAAAATCTCAACTTTCGAATTTCACAGAAAAAATAGATGTTTCGAAACTAGAAGTCGATCACGTATTTCGTGACTTTTACACTTTTGCTGTTCGACAGTGGAGTCTGCCTTCCTATGAAAAAAAAGAAATGAACGTCAACAAAATCAAATTCGAGCGTCAACAAATTTTTCAACGTACTTTTCCTGAAAAACAAAATCAACTCGACCTATATAAGAGTATGAACTATGTTCATCGACTCTCAATTAGGTATTTTTCTGGTTTTTAGACTCAAGTATGTGCTGCTTTTAGCAACACATTACAATTCATACACCACAGTTTTGACTTAAGAAAAATCTAAAATAAAACAGCATCAAGGACTTTAAAGTCACATTAAAAACCCCATCACTGCAAACCCCCCCCCCCCCCCCCATTTTTTACCACTATTGAAATATTTCAATGAAATTAGGGGGAAGTTAAACTAGCCGAAGTATAAGCCATCAAAAACCAGCAAGAAATTCGGAGCTATATCATTGTTCATATGTACACAGATGAGATACTGCAAAGCGAGAAACGGAAAAGTAGCTCAAAAAAGGCAATGAGAAAAAAATCAAAATTAATTCTTTAAAAATATTTGAAAAAATCATTGAGGCGGAATCGAACACCGACCAAAAGATTAAGAGTCGCATGTCCTCCCAGCTGGGTCTTGTCGATTTTAAAACACTAGCCACTAACAAAACAGGTATACAATGCATGCTATTAACATGAAATTGTTCAAAAAAGTGTTCATGTGTTCATGGGCGGATCTAGGATTTTCCCGAGAGGGAGGGGGGATTTTAAAAAAATTTTGTCTACCTTTTTTTTTTAGGTCAACCAAATTGATTTTTCGAGCTCTCCCAAAGCACTGTTTTGTCCATATTTTCTGCGCCGCAGGCAAAATTAAAAAAAAACGGTAGAAAGGCGTTTTTAGGCACTTTTTCGAAAATGTTGACCAAAAAATCGCGCTTTTCGGTGCGCTCCCCCCCCCCCCAAAAAAAAACTAGTATATAATGCCACCAAAGGCACCTTTAGAAAATTTTTAGGGTCCGTCGCCAAAAATTGATATCTCAAAATGATAAAGGGGGACCCTTTGGGTCGGCAGGGGTCGAATCCCTGAGGGGGGGGGGGCGTCCCCCCCTAAATCCGCCCCTACATGTGTTTACGTTGCGGAATGGGTAAAAACTGGATTCGTAGTATAACACTCCACTCGCTTGAAACCATTAGGATCATAGTTACAACAATTATGCAAAATTCTATTAATATGATGTAAATTGTGGTTGGTTTTTATGCTCCCCTCATTTTCGGCTGGTGATACCTCGACTGGTTTAATCACACTACAGTCTAGGCTTTTTGACGTTGCTTTTCTGCTTCTACCATCAAGCGTTTAATCTTTGGTATTAGAGAGCTTAATTTTTCCCCATGATGAACCCCTTCCACTTACAATAAATATAACCCGCACATTAGATTTCTACACTTTAGGGGGTGCATAAGCTTGCTAGGATGAGATACAATGATAAAAGCCCAACCAACAGTCGCTAAACTGTGAACAACATTTGGTAATCTACTTAAATGTTAATCGTTTCTACACTTAAACGAATTCTGTGAAAAATTTACCAAACATGCCTTGTAAGTAAAGTTTATCTTCAATCATATCCTGAATCATGTTCAAAAGTTCCAGAACATTCTCAGTGCTATCATCAAACTGTCCCTTTTGCAGCAACATCATACCGAGACTGATTGCCTTTGCGGAGTTGCATTTCGAAGGCAAATCTCTGATCACTTTCAAAGCTATGTTAGTTCCCTCCTTTTTAAAGTCACGTTCAAAACACTTAAGAACACAATTAGCAATGATTTCGATCTTGGCGTCCAGTTCTAACAGCGGATTTTTCCAAAGACGCTCAATTTGGACTTCCAGAGAGGCCAAATCGCCCTGGCAAATACAAGTTTGAGCCCAGAGGTAGTGAAGAAAAGGGTTCAATGGATCCAGTTTGAACGATTCCTGAAACGATGAGCCATATTGGCCCACTATCAAGCATTAAACAATCGGCTTGCAAAAAATTAGTTTCTCTGAGCAAACTATTCAAGCAAAGAGCTTTGAAATATTTTGAATGTGGTTCGGTATGCTAAATTTCAAAAATTTTGAGGCAAGTTATTCATTCAAGCGATGTAACTTAGAATTATTAACACCGGTTTGCATAACTTTTCTAGGCAAGCCAGTCAAACGAGGGACCTTTTGAATAAAATGGTCATTTTTCTAAAACTACTAAGTTTATTCAGGTATGTGAAATTTCACCACCAAAAAAGACCCCTAAAGTCCGACAGCATACAGCGGTTTTTTGATATTTTTGAAAAAATCAAAAGTTTTAATTAACATCAAACAGAGTTAATTTCTTTATACCAAAAACATTTTTTCAAAATATAACAACAAATCATTAAAAAAAGCTTCATATCCAAAGCCAAAAAGATCTTAGCAGTAATGTTTAGAGGCCAGATTTCCAACTGCTAAGTGTACTCCGACAACACCCAATCATTTGCTTGGGAGTTTTAGTTTTATTTTTGGCTGTTTTACATCAGTTTATTGCAAAAAAAAAACATTTAAAAAACCGCCATATCTCGGAAACCAATAGGTTTTGAGCACAAATATTTGGAGGCTTGATTTGGCACCACTGAAAGTACCCTGACAGCACCCCATAAAGGATACAGAGTTTCAAGTATTCAGAATGTTTTTTTTTAATTTAAGTTTTTTATTAACAACTCAAAACACTCCGTATTTGCGACCCCTGAATACACTTTGATAGCAATGCACCATAGGATAGAGAATTTCAAGAGTTACTTTAAATCAAAGTTTCTCAAAGGAAAAAAGGAATAAGAAAAAAAAGACGTCTCTCGGAAGCCAAAATGATTTGAGCAGTAAAACTTGACTTGCATCCGCTGAGCATACTCAGACAACACCCAATCATAGTGTTGAAAGTTTCAAATTTAAGTTATTCTAAATCTTTTTTTTTTAATTTTCAAAGGATTTGAGCAGAAATAGTTGCAGGAAAAATTTACACGTCCTAAGTGTAATCCGACTACACATAATTATAGGGTTCAGAGTTTCATGTTTTATTAATAATTTTATATCCGTTTTTCGAAAAAAAAAAAACTAAAAACCCATTAAAAATGGCATATCTCGGAAATTAAAAAGATTGGATCAGAAATATCTAGAGCCATATTTACAACCGCTGAGGGTTCCCTGGTAACATCTGACTTTTCATTTGAGAAAATAACCTGTTTCAATTTTCAATTAAACACGGAGACGAAAAGCTTACAAAAGTTTGCATTGCGAAGGAAGGAAAAAATTTCTACAGTTTAAGCATTCATTCTTCAACAGATGGATGGTTCGAATCGTAGACGACTTTGAAAATTTAAAACGTAAAATTCCTTAAAACAGATTTAAGGTCGCAAAATTTTGTCATTTTTTTTAAACATGTCAACATAAAGACTTCTCAAACCTGTGTCATGTGAAAGGCCAATTAAATAATGTCTTGATGAAAGAAAAACTTAACTTGATACACAGCAGTTGAATTTCAGTCATATATCACTTGCGATACCAAATAAAGAAAACATTGCGAGCAAGGAAACAGGAAAGAAAAGGAGAGCTACTAAGTCCAAAAAAAAACATTTTAAAAAACTTCGAAATGTTGTTAGGAGTGATGTTATATTTGCGGAAAACAAGTCCAGACGCACAATTGACAAAATTAAATCGAAAAACTGAAGAAGCCAAAGCAAAATTGTTTTCAGGAACAACTTTGAACTATAAATTCTTTTCTAAGAATTTCAGCATTTCATGGGATCCGAGGGGGAGCATTTATTTATGTTCACCTTGAAACTGCCCAAAAATAGGTCACTGCAGCGATATCCGAAACCTTTTGCGTCAAATCTAGTTTTAAAGCAAAAAAAATATACGAAGTCAATGTTAGTTAAGTTGCGCACAGATCAGCCGCGGATGCTTGAAACCCCCAAAAACTAGCCACCAATAATGCAGCTACATATGCTAATAAGTTGCCAATTCGATGCAGCAAAAGTAGCATCACATACAAAAAGATACAGTTTTGCAAGTTAAAAAAATTGCAAACCCTAAAGCCACATTATGTATAAATTATGCATTTCAAAAATTTGCGAGATATATTGAGTTAGAAAATTTCTGAAATCGAGATTTTATTATCGTTATTCTGTTTGAAACAAATGGCTTTCTTCGTTTCATTTGATGAATTAAAAATGCATCAACTGTGTAAACTGATAACTATTCGAATGTCAGAGCACATGTTATCAATAAGCTGTAAAGGTGCAACTTAATTTCAATGGTGCAACAAAATATCTTATTGCAAATTCGATGCAGCGAATTCGACGCAGCGAATTCGACGCAGCAAATATTGTTGTTTTAAAACGCAACGAATATTGCGGTTTAGTCGCAACAATATTTGCTACTGAGGTTGGAAAAATCTGGTTGGAAAAAATCTGGTTGGAAGTAAATCAGAAGTCGACAAAAAATTAAAATGTGGCAACTAAACCGTCAAAACATGAGCAGAAAAATCATAAGCCGACAAATTTGTGAAACGAAACCTTTGCCATTTGAAAAAAAAACAGGTCCTGCTCAGATTCAAACTAAAAAACTGGGCTATCCCAGGCGTGTTTAGTTTCTCCAGACCAAAGGTGCCGGAGACCCAACGAAATTTCAATTCATTATGAGCCAATATATCAATGGATTGTCTAAAACAAATTTTTAACCCGAAAAAGTCTATATTCCGATTTGATAACGCTTGCTAACTGCCATCGTAAGCATGCCATTAAAAATACCCTGGTTTTCTGAGACCATTTAAATTTCCATTGTGGCATGTCAAAATGCCGATAGGTCAGGGTCAGGTTGTCGAAAATATCAAGTGTGTCAGGTTGCCAGAAAGCTTTTTTGACTTGATTGGCTCTGATTTTTGAAGCACCGAGCTATTGCCCTCCCATCTCAGGGATTCGACCCCCTGCCGACCCAAAGGGTCCCCCTTTGGTACTTTTTATAAGAAATCCATTTTCGGCCGACTGACCGTAAAATTTTTTAATGGCGCCAATATATACTAACTTTGAGGGGGAGCGCGCGCCAAAAAGAATGCAGAAAGTTTGGCCAAAACAGCGTCTTTTTAGTTCTTTAGGAAAGCCCGGAAAATCAATTTGGTCAATCTAAAAAATCCGCCCCCCCCCCCTCGAGAAAATCCTAGATCCAACCCTGGACAGAACCATTAGAAAATGATTCACAATTTGTAATACCATAACTCGTTAAACCCTTTGAAAACTATTTTCACAGAGTATTTTTGAGAAATAACTTTTTCGACCCCAGTTTTGCTAAAGAAATCAAGAACGACAGCGTTATAATGGCTCAAAAAGCAAACTTACATTCAATGCTTCCGTTGCTGCTTGGAAGTTCTGCTCCTGTATGTAGAGGCTAGACAACTGACGAATTATGTGCGCCTGAAAAGATAAATAGTCCAATCATTTGATAGGCGTCAAACTTTCCTAACACCATTAAAAGGAGGATTATAATATCATAAATCTAGAAATCTAGATGGACTCTATGCAGTACGTATTTTGAGGGAATTCAAAACTTAACCGATACACGACATTTGCCGAAAGAAGTTGTTTTTTTTATTGCGCGGGTATAGCGTCACAAGAATGGTATAAAATTTGAATGCATTGAAAGAATTAATTTTTGTTCAATCAAACGTTTTTCAAACCATCATAACAAACCGAAAACTGCCAGTGTGAGTCAGCAAAACGAGGAGTCAAAATTTTATGGAGGCGCAGGATTCTACATAAGTTGATATGCACTGCGATTGAGACCGATGCTAGCCTTGCTGGAAAGATATTATTCTACCTTTGTAATTTTGTCCAATCTGGGATCATTGCACTTCACTGCTAAATTGGCCGCAAGAGCCATCAGCCTAACAGAGCAATCTCTCTCATTTCGACTACTATTATTATTCCCGTCTGTATCCATCGCTAGGTCATCATAGATATCTCCTGCTTGCTTTTCTGACAACTTATTCGGCATCGATTGTTCCAAAAACATTCCTTTGCTTTCGGCATACTTCCACACTCGTTGCACAATTGCCAGTGGGCAATTTTCTACATTTTGTAGAGCAATTTGCGCTATCTCTGAAGCACATATTAACAAAAATACGCAATGAATTTTTTTGAATTTTGAATTTCAATGATAGAAATTTCACAAATGATAATAAGTAGCCACGGGTCTTTTTACTTATTTGAATTTTCAATGCATGAATGTTAGGAACAATATACTGATAGCACTGGTTGATTTGGTAAATACAAATGCAATCACCTTGTTCTTAAGCCGACTTCTAATAGGGCCGAACTTAGAGCTGATACGAAGGTGGTCAGGAGGAGTTCGGCTGATTTGGAATTGAGAAAATGACTGTTTCATGAAATTTTTTATTCTAATAAACAAAAACATTTCTATGAAAAAATTCTGATCCTTTTTAGATGAATTCAAAGTTGGTTGATCTCTCATAATTGTTCTTCTTTTGCAGTTGCATTCATCTACAAAAAAACTCATTTTTTGAATTTTCGCAACAAGATCTTTGATATTGCTTGAATGCAGACGAACTTTGAGTAGATCACATTTCAAGTTTTTTGGTTACTCAAATTTTTTAAATTTACATCTAAGCATTAACATTAAATTGATAAAGATAGCTTTTGTGAGCTTCTTCTAAGCATTCCTCGTCGAAGCTAAAGTTACTTCTAACAATTTCGAAACAAAATTTTATTTCGAAGTTTTACAAAACAATATCTATGAGCTTGAAAATTCTCAAGTTTCTTTACAATCTTCTCCACAAATTAATTATTTTTGAGCTTTAGGGTCTATTCAGAAGAACTGAATTATACTTTTCTTTTGAGTTACTACTTCCTTATCCAGCTGATTTCCTAAATACGTATATCGTTATCTAGCTCAATTTATCACTGAATCCTGTCTCCTCATACATCATCCAACATCTCTTTCAAACTTACGTATTCTTCTAACTCTCAATACTCTAGTGAAACCCGTGTATTCTAAAAAGGAGTTTTTTTAGAATTGAATATTATCTTTACAAAAAAATATATTCTACTGAAGAAAATCAAGAAAATTTTCGCCTTTTTTTACCATCGAAATTGATAAAATCCATCAAGACAAGTTACTGAAATTTCTGCTGTTCGTGAAAAAACTATGTACATAAATACCATAATGTACGTGAAAAAATCCAATATGTACTGTACATTGAAAATAGCATAATGTGCATAGAACCCTCAGGAAATATTTATCGCTGTTTTTGAACATTTTGTTTCTACGCAGAAATCACCTTTCTCACTGCTTCGCATTTTTTCAATCAAAAATGGAAAAAAATTTTTTTCAATCAACACATTTTTTTCAATCAAAGTTGGAAAATTTCCAATAGATTTTTTTTTTCATAAAACGATCAACTTCGAAATGTTTAAATATATTTGTAAGTTATGAATTTGATATTTGTAGATTTTTTTTTAAAAAAAATGTATTTTGAAGATTTCTTAAAACAAAAAATGAGTCTCAAAAGTTTCTTGGAAAAGAAAAAAAGGAAGTCAATAATTTTGACGTGAGATCCAAGGTTTGAACTTCATTCAATAAAAAACTGAAAAAAAAACATTCAAATTTTTGAACACCAACAGAAACCTCAAAATAAAAAAATTAGACCTATGAATTTTTTTACCTAGAAACAAAAATTATTTATCTCTCAGAAACAAATAAAAGACATTATTTACATATATGCAATAATTATTATTTAAAAAGATTTTTGATTGAATCTGATGAGCATTGAGGAAATAAAAAAAGAAAGCTGATAAAAAGAAAAAACGGACAAAAAAACAGACAAAACAGACAAATTAAAAATTTCGAAATTCAGACTAATTTTAAATCTACATAAAGGCAAACTGAATAAGTTTTCGAAAACTACTTGAACATAGAAAAAGACCGTTTGTTTCTTTTAACTGAAATAGAGATGAAAATAATGAAAAAAAAACAATCAACAAAAAATTCAAAAGTCAACAAAACATTTTTTTACAAGGTTTGCGGAATTTGAAATCTAACCAGAAGAAAAAACATAGAAAAAACGATTGTTGATATGAAGATAAAAATGACAAAAAAAAATTTAAAAACGGACAAAACAACAAAAGTTCGATACTTTCAATGGTTTCGAGAATCGGTCAAGTTTTTAAAATAACCAAAAACAAATTGAAAGTTTTTGCTGCAAAACTACTTCTTTCAAAAATCAAACAACTGAAAACTTACAAAACATCTCTCAGAAACAAATAAAAGACATTATTTACATATATGCAATAATTATTATTTAAAAAGATTTTTGATTGAATCTGATGAGCATTGAGGAAATAAAAAAAGAAAGCTGATAAAAAGAAAAAACGGACAAAAAAACAGACAAAACAGACAAATTAAAAATTTCGAAATTCAGACTAATTTTAAATCTACATAAAGGCAAACTGAATAAGTTTTCGAAAACTACTTGAACATAGAAAAAGACCGTTTGGTTCTTTTAACTGAAATAGAGATGAAAATAATGAAAAAAAAACAATCAACAAAAAATTCAAAAGTCAACAAAACATTTTTTTACAAGGTTTGCGGAATTTGAAATCTAACCAGAAGAAAAAACATAGAAACGATTGTTGATATGAAGATAAAAATGACAAAAAAAAATTTAAAAACGGACAAAACAACAAAAGTTCGATACTTTCAATGGTTTCGAGAATCGGTCAAGTTTTTAAAATAACCAAAAACAAATTGAAAGTTTTTGCTGCAAAACTACTTCTTTCAAAAATCAAACAACTGAAAACTTGACTTCCTTTTATCTTATATTAATCACTTAGAAGCACTTGTTCAGATGGATTTCATTTTTGACAGAAGTCTTAGGGGCTCAAAAACTCTCCCTCTAGGCAAATGATACGGTGTTTGAACCTATTGTATAAAAAAAAATGAAGAGTAGGGAAAAAAGAAGAAAAGTTTTCTCGTTTGAGGATTTACTTGTAAAAATTACAGGAAAAAAATGTCTTAATTTCAGCTACAGACCGCTGTTACAAAACATTAAAAACTCCAGCTGCAAACAAAGTTTCTTACCAATATTCAAGATTCAACCCAAACGTATTTTTGGTTTTCACTTTTTATTCATTTCATTCAAACTGAGAATTATTTCTCTCAAAACATTCGTGTCTCTCCTCCTTTTTAGTGCACTTTCCCTTTTGAAAAACACGACTATTCAATTTGCACTAAGCTTTTCGGCAACTTGGAAATAAAACAGCATTAAACTTGATGGAAAACGTTTGATTATGTAACAAAATGATGAAAAATTTTTGAAATCTTCAAAAAGTTGTTTCAAAAATTTTAAAAACTGATAACTCAAACGATAATTTGTTTCAGGATTGGTGCAAACTTAAACAAACTTTTTGAAAGAACTAACAAACAATTCAATTAGTCGATGATTGAGACACTGACGAACGAATGCCCTGTCTGCTAGAGGAGAAATTGAAACTCAAGAAACAACATCAGACCAATATCTCACAACCATCTCACCACGTGTGTATTCAGTGCAATGCAATAATGAAATTTTCACTCTTAGAGTACGGTTCTTTTTAAGCCCGGTTTGTAGAAAACTTTGCTACACAATCTCGATGTCTCACTAAATTGTTTACAGTATCTGCAAGTAGATGACAAAGAATGTGAACTCGAGCCACTATAAACACCGCGTAAAACGTCCTTGAGACATCCAGATATGCAATTCTTGCGTAAAAAAATTCAGCAGAACTTGCCATATCTGCATTAAGGAAGTTAACTTCAGCGACCCTTGCCAGGAAGCAAATGTCATGTTGTTTTTTTACGAATTGTTTAACTTTGCAGTTTCCCCTAGTTTAATTTTTTGAATTTCGGAAAGAACAGTTTTTAGCGATATACCACTTGATCGCTTACAAACTGCATTTTTGAAAATTATGTCTGACAGTCGGTTTTCTAGAACGGGAACGGTTTTCTTTTTAAGGTCTAGATGTCTAAGAGCATGGGAATCCAAGCGATGTTCAACTTACAAACTGGATGAATCTTCTGATCTGTTTCAGTTCGGAGCGAAATTTTAAGGCATACATCACTCCAGAAACGATCACTTTGTACCGACTTCACTTTAGACCCAGAGCTCCTCTATTTGAAGATCGATTACTCATCTCTCCAGAACATTACAAGCTCCTGAAGACTGCATGAACCACTTAAACGTAACAAAGGAATCGGAACTTTGTCTACTACTGTTTTAAATTCCTTTGAACTTGCTGGTCATTAGATTTTGCTCGTAAGGAATTAAATTGGCTTCCTTATGAAGTTTTCAAAAAACAGGGAAAATTAAAGTTGAGTGAGGATTCTTGTTGGATTTCCCTCTGAAATTCAGTAACTTTTCTTGCGTAATTATAATAACAAAAAGTTAACTGGTGAACATTCGCTTAACCGAAACTGTTCAACATTATTTTTTAGTTTTCCGATTTTTTGTGTCGATAAAACCTCAGTCTATGATAAACTTAAATATCAAAAACTGGTTAATACCTACCGCATAAATTGTTAAAGTGAGTTTTTAGCTCACAGAAGGAATCAATTGGTTGATTGTTCCTTACACAATCCTGATGACAATCATGTCACCAGGTCAATCGATAATCAATCTGCCGGGCATGGTGATTTTTTGTATGCATAACTTTCGATAATCTGGATGAATATGTGATGAGGCAATTAGAAAATTGAAGCGGATCCGTTTTGCTTGTTTCATCTAGCTATTAAGTTGTTTTGAACAGAACTGAGGTTAAAAGATGAAATCACTTCGATCCATATTTCTTTGGTGTCACATCTGATTTCATCGCCATTTGGAACGCTTTAGGATGAACTTCATATTTTGGTATTCTGAAACTTTTTTCATCAGAAAACAATTTAAAGTAATTAACTTTTCGATGTCACATCGATTGACCTGGTGACATGATTGTCATCAGGGTTGTCTAATGAACAATCAACCAATTTAATCCTTCTGTGAGCTGAAAACTTTTTGAAACAACTTATGCGATAGGTATCAACCACTTTTTGATATTTGAGTTTATCATAAGCTGAGGTTTTATTCAAAGAAAAAATCGGAAAATAAAAAAAATGTTAAACCTTTTAGGGTAAACGTATCTTCACCAGTTCACTCCACAAAATACGCAAAAAAAAATCCTGAATTTCAGTGGAAAAATTAACAAAAAACCTCCGTCAACTATTACTTTACCTGTCTCTTGAAAATTTCATGAGGACGCATTTTACTCCAAGTAAAATACAATTCCTTGCGAGCAAAATCTAACGAAGCAAGTTGAAAGGAATTTGAAAATTAGTAGACAAAGTTCCGTTTCTTTTGTAATCTTTTAGTGGTTCATGCAGTCTTCAGAAATTCGCAATGTTCTGGAGAGATGATTAATCAATCTTCAAGAAGAAGAGCTCTGGGTCTTAAAAGAAGTCGGTACAAAGTGATCGGCTTTGGAGTAATGTCTGTCTTAAAAGTTCGCCCGAACTGAAACAGATCAAACGATTCATCCAGTTTATAATTTAAATATCGCTGGAGACCTTAAAAAGACAAAAAAAAAGTTCCCGTTCTAGAAAGCCAACCGTCAAACAAAAAATTTCGAACATTTATTTTGTAAGCGATCAAGTGGTGTAACCCTAAAAACTGTTCTTTCCGAAATAATAAAAAAAATAAACAAGGGAAAACTGCAAAGTTGAACAATTTGTAAAAAAAACTACATGACCTTTACTTCATGCCCAAGGTTCGCTGAAGTCAACTTCCTTATTGCAGATGGGGCTCAGGTTCACATTCTTTGTCATCTGCTTGCAGATACTAAAAAGAATTTAGTGAGATATCAAGATTGTGTAGCAACATTTTCTATAAACCGGGCATAAGAAACAACTGTACTATGAGCGTGAATAGACACGAATGTTCTGAGAGAAGTAATTCCCAGTTTTGAATGAAATGAATAAAAAGTGAAAACCAAAATTAAATTTGAGTTGAATCTTGAATATCAATGAGAAACTTTTTTTAGCAGGAGTATTGAATGTTCGGTGACAGCTTTCTGTAGCTGAAATAAAGACACTTTTTTCCTGTTAGTTTTACAGAGAAATCCTCAATGGGAAATATTTTCTTTTTTCCTCTTAACTCCATTACTACTTATAAAATAGGTTCAACCAGTGTATCATTTGCATAGAGGGAGATTATTTAAGCCCCTAAAACATCTGTCAAAAATGAAATCCACCTGTACAAAAACGGTAAATGATTAAATTTAGATAAAAGAAACGCAGGTTTTTCAACTGTTTGATTTTTGAAAATAGTTTTGCAGCAAAAGTTTTCGATTCACTTTAATTTATTTTAAAGTTGACTGATTCTCGAAAACATTGAGATTATCAAACTTTTGCTGTTTTGACCGTTTTTATAGTTTTTTTTCGTCATTTTTATCTTCATATTAACAATCATTTTATGTGTTCTTTTTCTTCTGATTAGATTTCAAATTCACAAAGAAAAGCATTTCCGCAAACCATGTAAAATAACTATTTTTGAAACTTCTGAATTTTTTGTTGATGGTTTTCTTTTTCATTGGGTTCATCTTTATTTCTGTTAAACGAAACAAACGTACTTTTATTTTGTAATCAAGTAACTTTTCGAAAAATTCCTCAGTTTGCTTTTATCTAGATTTAAATTAGTCTGGAGTTTGATATTTTGAATAATTCTGTTTCGTCTTATTTTTCCGTTAATGTTCTGGCGTTTTTTCTTCATATAAGCTTTATCTTTTTTTGACTTCTCAAGGCTCATCAGATTCAATCAAAAAGCTTTTTAAATAATAATTATGGCATGTAAGTATATAATGTCTTTTTTCGTTTCTGAGAGATAAATAAATTTTGTTTCTAGGTAAAAAACTTATAGGTCACAATTTTTTATTTTGAGGTTTCAGTTGGTTTTTAAAATTTGATTCTCAGATCAAAATTTTTAGCTTCCTTTTTTTGTTTTCCAAGACACTTTTGAGACTCATTTTTAATTTTAAGAAATTTTCAAAATATCTTTTACAAATATCTACAAATATCAAATTTGTACCTTACAAATATTTTTAAACATTTCGAAGTTGATTATTTTATGAAAAAAATTGCTGTTCTAAAACATCTGTTAGAAAAACTTCCAGTGAATTGACTTTTGTGGACTCTTTTGAACTTAATCTTACTTATACTCTATACTGAAGTTGTAAAAACTTGTTGTTCGTGATTTTTAATTGCGTTTATTTTTCCACAGTCCTTGTTATTCATTCTTTTCTAAAAAACAGCAAAAACTTTTTCGCCTTGTTATGAAGAAATTACAAGCTTCAGGTTCATTTTTACTTTCTTCGCTTGACTGTGTATTTCGAATTTTCCGCCGTTCGATGAAATTTTTGATCTACTCAAGTTGGTCTCATTTGGGGCGTCAGTTTTCTTTTTAGAGTGAAAATTGAGTTTTATCTTTTTATTAGCACTCGGAGAAGTGAAGGGACCCGGAGACACTGCGTTATTAGATAGTGTCTTCTGAATACTGGTTTGATTCGTTCCATCTTTGTCATTTTCTCAGCTAATCATTCTTCGTAAATCCCAGTCACTTTCTAAATTACATATCACCCTATCCGCCTCCTGAACCATAACAAGTTCTAACTGATTTTTTGTCATTGGTTGCATATAAACATCGTGCTGAGAAAATGGTATCGTACGCATTATGGAAGTGTACAAATACCCATATTTTCTCTAACACTGAGCGTTCGTTTTTCAAAATGATTTGAGTAAACTACACTAAATCTTGTTCGTCTTGAACATCGGAATCAACTGTACCGACATAATTACTGTACCGACATAAATACTGTACCGAAATAATTACTGTATCGACTCAATTAATGTACTCTGCAAAATAAAACTCAGGAGTCGTCGTCACATTATCAACTGACCGTTTTTGTTTTAATGACTTGAATGCATTCACAATTACACCGTCTTCTCCCTAGGATGGAATAGACATGAATATTCTTTTTTCAAACGCGAAACTGTAATCTACTCGATCGAAACAACCTATGAAAAACGTTTGTTTTTCTTGCAAATTGTTTCAGTTTATGAGGTGAATAGCTGCTAACACGATTCAACCTGAATCAGTAAAAAATTTGTCATTTTTCCAAAAAAAATTTATTAGGAAATTTCTAACTTTGATTGAAGAAAATGTGTTCTAATTTCACTGCGAAGTGATTTTTGCGTAGAAAAGAAATTTTCAAAAATAGCGATTAAAATTTCCTGAGGATTCTACGTACACTATGCTAATTTTCAATGTACACTTTATATTGGATTTTTTCAAGTACACTATGGTATTTTTCTATGTACCAATAAGCAATATTTTTCACGAGCAGCGGAAATTTCAGAAGCTGTCTCGATGAATTTAATTAAATTCACTGATAACAGTGGAATTGATTTTTTTGTAAACTTAAAAATCAATTCATAAAAAACTCACTTATGAAAACACGGGATTCAGTAGTTTATTGAGAGATGCATGAGCACGGAATTTGAGAACTCAAAAGACCAGGTGATTTGTTTTCGAAATTTTTGTGATGCAACTTTCTCATAAAATTTGCAAGATGAAGATTTGATGAGGAACGTTGATGAAAAACATATTGGATTTTCGATTGATCAAATGTTAAGGTTTGAAAGATAGTTAAATCAAAAAGGGAGTTGAAAAAGTTGAATTGGAACATACTCAAAATTGATCAAATTCCAGCAAAAGAAGTGATTGTGAGAGAGTCAATTTTTTCGTTTCTAAATTTTAAGACTGCTAGGAAAGCAACAATGAGATAAAAAAACTGAACCTTAGCTTCGATGTGGATCGATCAAGAAAAACTATTATTGGTTCAATCAATTGAATTTAATTCATTGGCAAAATATAAATTTAAGAAAAAAATGAAGCTGAAAATTCAAAACTTCAATAAAACTTTAGAAAGATAATTAATTAAATAATTTAATCAAAGATAATTAATTTTCAGGGGGTTTAGGGATTTATCTAAGACTGGAAACCATTAACCCGGAAAAAATGATTATAGTTATTTGAGTTGAATTCCCGATAAGCTGATAATCTTCAGCGAGTCCCAAATCAATTACGATAAATTACTTTGAGTGAAAAATAGTTATCTGATAAGATTTTATTCCCCTTCAGCGATCATTAACTTATCCACTTAATTAACAATTGAACAAATTGTCCCCAATGATTCCGGCCATATACCCCCAAAAATTAACTCAGGTGAAAAAATTAATCTGATAAGATCTTTATTACGCCCCCGAGAAAAAGGCTAATTGAGTAACATATTCACGTGACTTTGACATGTTGACTTCTCTCCGAAAATAGCCATGACCTCTTGTTGCTCTATACCACTCTTTTGGCATAATTAACAGAGTACTGCAATTTAGTTATGACGTTTTTTGTGAATGGCATACCTCCAAGTAATAATTGCGGTCGATCAGATTTTACAGCTACGTCAACAAATGCCTTCCGCAAATTGCATAGCTTGTCTTCGCTCTTCTCACACTCCAGCTTCCTCAGGATATTCTGAAGAGCAGATTCCACATAATCCACACCTCTGTGAGTCATCAAAGAGGAGAAAAACAGCTCAAAGTGCTCTTCTTTAGACGCAACTGCGACGAACTCCTTAAAAGAAATGACATGACTTCATATTCACATTGTTTGAGGTTTAAAACTTCAACGAAAAAATTTCCGAGCCGCTTAGAATTTTGAAAAATTATACACAACAAGCTATTCCAAAAAGTTGTCATAAAACAGACTTGGAGGAACAGCCATTTACTTCAATGATTAGACATAGGAGCCATACAGAAATCGAGCGAAAGAAAGTGAAAACCGAGTGTTTTTCTTTTTCAGAACTATTTGTTTTACACTAGCAACCTTTTCACGAGAAATAACACACATACACAAATCCCGTGTTTGGGTTCGGAAAAACCATCAACCCTATTTTTTTGCAAAAAGCACGCCGATTTCTCAAAAACTCAATAAAAAACACTCTGTTCTCAGATTTTAGGAGAGGTCGGAATATCGTTTTGACTAACAAAAAAATGAGCCCAATTACGTAATTCATTAATTCGCTCTGGGATCAACTGATCAAACAACATGCAAGTGAAAATAATTCTAATAAAATTAAATCACAAAGAAACACAAATTACACATTGCAGCTTTACCTTCACAATAGAAGACTGCTCACGTTTCGATTGCGTGTACTGAGATTGTGAGCTGCAAGAACTTGCGGCCATAATTACCGACAACTTCAGGACAAGAAGGCTTGGGTAGTTTTCTTCCCGTACTTCATTCTCCAGAATTTCACACACCTCTTGTGCCTCGGTGATCCGATTCTCTTTATTCAGAGTCTGAACTAACTTGCATATTTGATGGACCCAGTTATTTAAATCCAACTTTGCGACCAGCAACACATTGAACATAACTTGCATAAGTTCAGTTTTCATATTGTTCGTTTCTTGATTTTCAGATCCGTTTTTGTCTGATGAAGTTTCAATAAACTTGAAGACTACTTCGCACAATGCTTTTGACAAGTTTGGAGAACAAGTCTTGAATTCGGAGAATTTGTTTTTCACCCATTGTCCGAGTGTTGCGAAGTCATCTAGATTAATTCAAAAAAGTACAAATACAAAACCGATTCAAAACCAATCGAATTATTGAATTCGATTGGTGAAATCAATCGACAAGTACTTGCAGTAAAGGAACGAAACAAGACCTTTAAAGACTGCTAGAATATTTCTGGCCAGCTCTAGCTCGAACAACGATTGATGAACTTCGCCTACTAGACTCAAATTTGGATTCTGGATACTGTTTGCCAAAAGCCATTTGGCACTGTTTTTGCCCAAATTAACAGCGCACTCAATTGCTTCCACAAAATCAGACGATTTCTCATCTTTCAGCAAAATCCAAGCTGCCTTCCTGCATATGAACTGAAGCGTTCTATGATCATTTAAGTATTCCAGTTTCATTCTTTCACAAAGTTGCACGCACAATTCAATGGTCTTTCCATACAGGCTATTTTCTCCTTCAACTTGTGGGCTTCGGACTAAATTGTAAAAATCTTTGACAAACGAGGAGTTTTCGGTCACTTCCCGGTTTTCTGTCTTGAGAAGAGAACATTGTAACGTCTCGAACGATTCTTTGTCGCACTTTTGAGCAAAATTTTTCACGCCTTCCACTTTCTGAAGCTCTGTGCTTAATTCCATCACCGAAAACCTGAAAAGCAGAAAATAAGGTTTGCTTTTATCAACTTGATATATCAACATCAATCGAAAACATTCGTCCTTAGAAGCTCAAAATAATTTTTAGACTAACTGATTAGCCGGTTGTTATGCAAGTACGGCATAATGATACGACCGCAGTTCTTTAATTTAAAAATAACCAACAGACAGTTGGAAAAGAGTCAATGAACGCAAGGAAACAAAAAACGGCCAAAAATCCAGTTTTGAACTTAGAAATCCATCACATTTTTTGTGACCTTTACAATTTTGCTGTTCGATGATGGAGTTTCCCTTCCTTTTAACAAAGGAACTGAACTGAACTTAAGGACAAAGTTAAATTGAAACCGCGAAAAATCAATATTGAGTCTGAAAACACCGTGGGCTGACCTTATAGCACATAGATAACCCAAGTTGATCTTCTAGCATTGATGCAAGTTGATCATGATGATCTGTAATTCCTGAAAAACATTTAAAAAAGTTCATCGACTCTTACAAAAAGAAGAGAGAAATTTTGTTCAATTTTTTGCCGCTTTGCGCAAATGGGGCGACTATAAAAAAGTATCAAATGACAAAAAAACCGGTCGAGTCAAAAACTTCCAGCGAGCCAATTGCTAATTTTTTGTGGCGCTTAATTGAAAAAAAAATCAAAGGATATTTCAAAACCTTTTTTTTGCGAGTAAATAAATTCTATTCTATTTTTCTTGCTCGCAAAAAGTGAAACAAAAAAATTTCCTGCAAACAAAATTTACGGATCAACAGCTTTGTAGACTTAGAATTTTGTGAAATCAGATCTTCTTTTTCAGTTACTCATTTTTACATCGTTTTGTCTTTCATCATACGCTCTGCTCTGCCATGAGGAATAAATTTCAAGTTATGAAGATATAAAAAAAATTATCAATCAAACTAGCTGGTATTCCCAATCAAACTAGATTTTTGTTCTAACCATTGAAAATGGGGAAGAACTTTGTAATCCAGTGCGTTTAAGTTTTTCTTTTTTTGTTTTCCACGCAAAACCAGGTACGCTTAATAGTCATCGGAATGGCTCGAGTGATATGTTACATTAAAGCTCTTTCAGCCATGAGTCGGACGACATTGAATTGCCCAAGTGTCGAGAAAAATGAAAAACAGATTAAAAGTTTTTGAGTTAAAGAGTAATTTCGAGCGATTAAAGCGACCGAAAAACGTTCAGCATAGAAAAATTAGATTTTTAAGCTGTAAAAGTTGACTTTACTAAACGAAAACTTAATTTGGAAGTTTTACTTGGCAAAGAAACTTTCCTTAAAAAAACTAAGACATTGTGAAACAAAAAATTTAAAAATTCTATAAAATATTTGTTGTTTTTTTTTCTGTTTTTTTAATATATTTTTCTTATTTTATTATAAAAAAGAGAACAAACTAAAACATACTCGAACACTAAGTTTCTCCCCATTTTGCAAATGGTCGGAACAATTAACAAATAATCGTTGAACAAAATACTATAGTATCCATGTAATGTATATGTGTAAACTATCTATTTTGCACGACCTATTTTACAAAATCTCGAACTTTCTGCGCACACAATCAGCTGTTTGAATAAAAAATTTATGATTTAAGGTCAGAAGAAAAACCAATTAATGTGAATCATCCTGAATGGAAATTTCAAATAAGTGAAATAATTTGAAATAAGTGGCGAGTCCAGAGCCTAAGCACAAAAAACCCAGACTTTTCAGGCTGTCATCATGGCTTTCGCCGCGGGTTCCAGCAGCCCATGTGATCTCATGTAGTGGGCCTTCAAATGCTGTTTCAACTTGAAAACGGAATCACATTGAAGACAGTTTAACGATACTCTCTGTGGAAGGTGTTTTAGTTCAATGTGTCGTTTTATCGTCGAAGCGAATTTGGTTTCGTAGTTACAGAATGTGCATTGGAATATCTTTTCGTTAGTTTGAGAGTCAACTAAAACTCTTCTGAGACTGGAAACATCAACAGGTGGGAGATTTGGCATGTCAATCAATTGCTTCTGTGTATTGGATTGTTTCGGGAAATAAGACATAGCTTTCTTGATTGATTTGCCTGTTTGTTGTACTGGAGCCTTTCTTTTCAAATCAGGATCCGGACTGAATCCATTCGATTGGCTTCTAAGAGTGGTATTTTCCTGAGGTTCTAAAAGAACTGATGGACATAATTTTAAATTACCGCAATGACCTGCGTTTAAGAACAGCTCCATTTTTATAGCAGACTGTAATGCAAATTCAATGCAGACAGAGCTCAAGTTCATACAAATATCCAACGATTCCATCTTCATATATCTTAAAATCAAGCTAGTCATTATGTTTCATGCAAATCGTATTTTTATTAACATTATTCTACTTTAGAGCTGGAAAATAAGCTCGGTCCAAATCACAAGATTATTCGTAATCATATTATTCGACATATTTCTGAAAGTGAACCTGACCAGTATATAGTTATTTAGGTTATTCAATAATTCAAAACTAATGATGGTTTTTCAATTTAGCATCAGAGGTAATTTGAAGGACCGAATGGCCCAAAATTATGGCAGCCATTCAGAATTCACATAACTGAAAGCGATAAGCCAATGAAATTTTTAGTTATCTAATTATTTTCAGTCATTCATTCCGATCCTTCTACAAGATAGTTCCAGCTATGATCGAATAAAAACTATTTTCGACAGCTATGAGAAAAAACTTAATACTCACTAAATTTAAGCTTCTAAAGATTCGAGAATTATTTGAATGAGATTAGCTCGTAAAGATTCGTGAATGAAACTAGCTGGGATTTATTTAAGCCGAGGATTTATTTAAGCCGATTGATAATAAACTATACTGGTATACATCACTTTCCAACTATAGAGAGAACGCACAGTAAATGACTCCTATCAAAGCAGTATCGTGCGCAGAATTTTTTTTTGGGGTGGGGGGGGGGGGGGGGGGGAGGTTCTTCGAAACATTTTGCCGACCTTTTTTTTACTATACGGACTCTATTTTGCCAAAAAATTGGTGCGCCGCAGGCAAATTAAAAAAAAACAGATTAGAAAAGGTGTTATTGGGCACTTTTTGGAACATTTTGAGCAAAAAATTGCGTTTTTTCGGCGCCCGTTCCCACCTAAATTAGTCACATTGGCACCGAAGGCGCTTTTAGAAAAGTTTTGAGGTTGTTCAGCTAAAAATGAATGACAAAAAGTTATACCAAACAGAGGACCCTTTGAAAAAATGTGGCAACCAGAAGTGAAGGGAGGCACCCCCTCCTCGACGCGCTACTGTATCAAAGCTATGATACCGTGAAAATCTTCCAGCGCAGCTGTAATAACATCTAGTTTAGCATAAGGCCAAAACTTCACCAAATTCA